ATTTCTTTAATTTCGGAAGTAAGTCTGTCTTTCCTTCTTCTTACTCTGTCTTTGTCTGGAAGTTCAGGTGAAATCTGTCCACCCTGCTGGTATTAAAATACTGGAGGCATAGCTTCCAGCATCACAGTAACGCACAAGCCTCCACAGTACAACAAAGTGAAGACATGTGATGGTTTTCAGGACTAGTTCTACCAGCAGTGCATGAGAATTCCAATCTCTCCACACTGTTGCTAGTATTTGTTGTTTTCTGTCTTATTGAACTCTGCTATTATTGGTAGGGAGTCCTGGTGTAGCGCTGTGGGTTAATGCGCTGGACTGCAAAGTCATTTGAACTGCAAGGTTGGAGGTTCAAGCTCACCAGTCGCTTCTTGGAAACCCTATACAGGTTCACTATGGGCCAGAACCGACTCGATGACACTTAACAACGACAACTACAATGACTAATAAGAGTCCTGGCGTGGCACTGTGGGATAATGCACTGGACCACAAGGTCAGTTTGAACCACAAAGTCCGGCGGTTCAATTTCACTAACTGCTTCTCAGAAACCCTATACTGAGTCCTTATGAGTCGGAACCAACTCAATAGCACTTAACAACAACAGTGATTAGTAATCACTAGCATTCCTTCTTGTGCTTGTTGGTCACCTGAAAATGTCTTTGCTGAAGTGTCTGTTAATGTCCTCTGTTTATATATTTATTTTAAAAAATGTTTTTATTGTGAATTGAGTGATAATTTAGATGGGAGAACAGTGCTTTTACACTCATCCTATCACATTTCATTGCATTGTAATCATTACAATCCCCTCCATGCATCATCATTCAATCATTCAACATTATTTGCTTCCATTCCCTCTGTTGTTTTTTTTTTAATATACACAAAAACACTAAGGAATATATAATAATTTAAACAATCAAAGGGCACATTCTGCAAGTCTGCCTCCGGGCCGCCAGCACTCAGTCCCTCTCTTTCCTTGAGTCTGGAGTCCTAAGCTGAGTCCTCAGAGACAGTCGTCTTTCCATGTCCTCATCTCTGCCTCCATTTCTGGTGTTGCTGCTTCTCTGGATAGGGTCCCACATTCTGTTCCTGCTCTTCTGCCTTGATGGCCCTACAGTCCTCTGTTCCTGGACTGTAAGGTTAACTACTCCCTCTGTTCATTTTTAATTGGATTTTTTTTTTAAATTGTTGAAGTATTTGGTATTTTTAATGCTAGATATTCCTGTGGATTTATAATGTATTTGATTTTTGTGTCAGTTTGCATTTTTCTGGTGACCAATGATGATGTGCACCTTTTCATGCATTTAATGACTCTGAATAATTTCTTTGACTGTTTCAAACTTGTTTTCCATTTTTCTAGTCATTTACTTGTTTAATTACTGTTCTTTTTAATATTTAATATTATTTATTTTAACTTTTTATTGTTGTTTGGATGAAAATTTGTAGAAAAATTAATTTTCCATTCAGTGTCTTTTGATGAACAGAATTTTCTATTCAATTTAAAGCAAGTTAAACATTTATTTTTACATTAAAAAAATAGTAGCCTAGTTTAAGAACTTAAATATATTTTAAGAACTTAAATATATTATCATAGCAGTCCTGGTGTGGTGTTGTAAGATAAGCACTGGATTGCTAACAGTGTTTGACAGTCCAAATCCACTATCTACTTTTGGGAAACCCTATACAGGGTGGCTATGAGTCGGAACCTACTCATTGACTTAACAACAACATCCATCTATGTTGTTGTTGTTGTGTGCTGTCGAATCTGTTCCGACCCATAGTGACCCTATATAGGGTTTCTAGAGGAGTGACTGGTGAGCTTGAACCACCGACCTTGCAGTTTAAACGGCTTTGCAGTCTGGTGCATTAACCCCCAGTGCCACACCAGGACTCATCTATAGGAATACATTATATTTACATTTAACTGTGTAATTCACTTGGAGTAGAATTCTATTTAAATATGTGGTGGCAGAATCGTTTAGTTTTTGACTGTATAAATATACAATTAACTACATTCACTGAAAACGTATTTTCTACAGTGCTATATGGCTCCACATAGATTATAAATAGAGCGTCTGTTTATGGGATAGGTCTATTTGGGACTCTGCATTCTGTTTTGTTGCTCTATTTGTCTAGTTGTGTGCCAAAACCACATTGTCTCGATCACTGTTGCCTTGTATTAAATTCTGAGAGCCAGTAGAATAAGACCTCTTTAATTCAATTTAATTATAAAAATTTAAAAATTTACATACATGAAGAGACATATGCATACACACAAATCCACACAGAATTTTGTGGATTTGTTGGGATTGCTTTGAATCTATAACTGATTTAGAAATAATACAGTACTTTACTGAGTACTTTTAGGGAAGTATTTCATACTTTTATCCACACAGAATTTTGTGGATTTGTTGGGATTGCTTTGAATCTATAACTGATTTAGAAATAATACAGTACTTTACTGAGTACTTTTAGGGAAGTATTTCATACTTTTTTCCCATTTTTGTTCTACTTTGTACCTCTTTCATAACCTTGTTTGTTTCAAACTATGACATAAGGTAATTAATGTTTCAAACCTCATATCATAGGGTTTTTTTGTATGTGTGAGGAGAAAATAGAAATGCATTTAAAGAATAGACATCGTAGGAGAGACAAAGCCACTGAAATGTACCACTCATACGCACTTGCCCTTTGAGCTCTATGAATTTCAGTATATGATCTTGAGAAATAAAGGGTCTAGGCTTTTACTAAAAATCAAGTGCAGCGATAGTAGATGGCAAGATCTGAATGATAGGTATGACTCTATAGGATAAACACTGACTGAACTGCTAACTGCAAGGTTGGCTGTTCAGACCCAGGAACTGCTCCTCTAGAAAACGCTATACAAGGTCAGTCTGAATCAGAGCTGGCACCACTGCACCTAAAAACAATACAATTAGCGGGGAAAAGAGGAAACTTACTATATGATATGATAAGGTATGCAATTTATTGCAAGGTATCCCAAAATAATAAAGGAGGAACAATAGATGATAATGTTTCTTAAAGATTGTCTCAAAAACAGGAGTAAAGACAGATTTTTTAAAAATCCAGAGACCAATTATTTCATTTAAAAGGAAATTCTCTCATAAATCTTTACAATTCCAGCCGATCATTCTTCTTTAAAATTTTTTCTTGTTTCCATACCTCTAACATTGTACTAACTCTAATCACTAGCACATTTTTTTTTTTTTTTACAATGTTGTATTTAACATTACCTCTTGTTTTCTTATCACACACCCCGTTACTCCAATGACATGAACTGTGCGTAGTTCCTTGGTGTATGGTCATATTTCATTGGCTTTACAATGCTGTGTCCATGACTGGGGAGGTCCTTTTTTGTCTATCATTCTTCCTAGTCCAAGTAGTAACCTCCACTAAGAATTCGTTGGACTTCCAATCTCATTTAGATGTTGTCTTCAGTATCCCTTTGCCTCTTGTACATGATTATTTAATAGCACCAATCATGCATTATTGTTATTGCATATTTATTTTATGTTCTTTCATTGGAATATAGAAACTATTTGAGATGGCAGAAGGGTTTTTCATTCCTTTCTTTCATTCGTGCTTTTTTCAGACACATTTTCAGGAATGTGCCTTATATGCCATAGTATTGTCAGCACCAAAAAAATCCCTGATGCTACTCAATAAAATGATGAAGGGAGGAAGGAAGAGAAGACTCAAGACAACCATCAGACTGCTGGATCAGACTGGCTACTTTGTGTTTGAAAACAGTTTGAAGAAGGCCCTACGTATTTGCTTGGTCTTCACACTATATATGATAGGATTCAGCACTGGGGGAAAGAGGAAATGGAGAGTTGACATCAGAGTATGAACATATGGAGGTGCCTTATGAGCAAAGCGATGTACCAGGGCCAAAATGACCCAGGGGATGTAGAAGATGGCAACGGCACCAATGTGAGAGAAACAGGTGCTGAAGATCTTAGTTCGTTCCTCTGGGGAAGCAATCCTGAAGATGGACTTAATGATTAGCACATAGGAAAGGAAAATGCAGGGAATGTCTATACCAGATGTCAGAATGAGAACAACTAAGCCGCAGATGCTGTTGACCTTGATACTTGAACACGAACACTTAATCACATCAGGATGATAGCAATAGGAGTGAGCAAGCATATTAGGACCACAGAAGGACAACCGCTTAAGAAGCAGAAGCAAGGGCACCAGGTTGAACAACATTCGTACAATAATCACAACCCCAGCTTTGATGATTCTAGAGTTAGTTAAGATCATAGCGTATCTTAAGGGGTTGCAGATGGCGATAAAACGGTCAAAAGCCATGGCCAATAGCACAGAGGATTCCATGAGGGTAAATCCATGCAGAAAGAACATCTGTACAATGCAGGCATCTAAGCTGATAATTCTGGTATTGAACCAGAGGACACCCAGTGTTGTGGGAAGAGAAGAAATGGTGATGCCCATGTCAGTGGTTGAGAGCAGGGAGAGAAAATAGTACATGGGCTCATGGAGATTGGAGTCTGTCATCACCACATAGAGAATCCTGCTGTTCCCCAACAGGGCAATTATATACAGGCAGCAAAAAGGGATGGAGAACCAGATGTGGAAAGCTTCCAGCCCTGGAAATCCTGTCAAGAAGAAAACTGAAGAACTGGAATTACCAAGAGATAGCATGGTAGTCTGAATGAAAAGCCACTCTCCTTCTGTAAATTCCTGCAATGAAACATTTCACTGAGTTAAAACTACTCTGTCAGTTATTTTGATTCTTGTTTTAATTACTATGCAACAGGTAATCCTTCAAATACTCTAGAGGTAGATTTTATCTATCATCTTTCTTTTTACAGATGAGTTAAAAAGAAGCTTAGCTAGTTTAATTTACTAAACACAAGTAAAAGTTGTTTTACTATACCATGCTTAGCACATGCTGTAAGCAGCAAGGCTGGGAGTAGGCTTACATGAGAGAGACAATTAAAGTAAGGAAGGGCCAGAAGACTCAGAAAGCGTGATTATATTTCAATCATTTAAAGAATCAAATTTAATGCAAAAACTCACGAGTGCAATGCCTAAAATAGAGAAGTCTTCTGATGAGCAATAATGGAGCCTGAAACAAAAGGAAGCATGCATTCATTCCCCTGTGTACATGTTTCTGTGTCTAGTTAACAGATAATTTTTCTAGAACAAGAAAGTAGAAAAATACTGAAAAATTTAAAAGTAGGCATAATAAAACAAGAAACTCTGGCAGAGCAAAGCTTAAATGTTGTTGTTAAGTGCTGTTGAGTCGGTTCCGACCCATAGCGACCCTGTACAGCGTTTCCGAGAGTGTAAATCTTTACGGGAGTAGAAAGCCCGATCTTTCTCCCGCAGAGCAGCTGGTAGTTTCGAACCGCTGACCTTAAGGTTCACAGCCCGATTCGTAACCACTATGCTACCAGAGCTCATAGGTGAGGTTAAGAACTCACCTTCTAACCAATAGGTTGGTGGTTTGTGCCCACCAGAGGCACTATGGAAAAAACGACCTGAAGAACTATTCCCATAAAAATTCTCACCTATGAAGCCCCGTGGAGAAGTCTACTTTATCATATAGGATTACTATGAGGTGAAATTTGCTCAATGGTACAACAATAACAATCCTTTTCTTTTCAAAACTGAACTATTTTCTTTATATGATAGAGTTTATTATAAATTTACTTGACATTGGTCAATTAAAATTATTTCTTTGTTAAGAGTACTACCAAACATGGAAATTCTCTCAGTTGAAAATGACATAAACAAGTAAGTAATTGATGAATTTACTTACATTAAAGTTCAATTAAGAATCGAATCCATGTCCATTGGTTTGGTATGAATGCACTTTTTATTTTTAAATGTTTCTAGAGAGTTGTTTTGTGATCATTTTTCCAATTACAGACTCTTATTTCCATCTTCTTTCCCATTAACCCAAAAAAAAAACTAGGAATTTAGGAAGGATGTATTTCCTCCTCTTTCAAATTTCAACTCTAACTTTCCCCACCTGTGATATATCTCCCTTCCACTTACTTTTCTTCCTCTTCCTACCTTGCTGTCTGTCCACTGGAGGAAGAAGTTTCTCTGTCTAGAGAAAAGGGAAATGGAACCTTCTGAGTTGAGTGTTTTTAGCATTCAGGTAGCGTCTGGACTTGTTTCCTTAGGCAGTTATTTGAGAAGAATGTAAAACTGTAACTCTTTCCTGCCAGAACAAAGTACTGTTTAAATAGCTTTTCCCAGATGACTGACTGATCAAGAGCACAATCCTACACCCCACAGGGAATAAGCAGGCTCTGATTTCCTCAAGCACCTGATAATTTAAGAAAAACCATAATAATAGGAACATTCTTTCCCAGATTTCAACCAAGTATTTCCTACAGGAAATTAAACTCCTTAAAAAGAAATGAAATAATGTAACTGAATACTCCCATATGCAAGGAAGGGTTTGTTATATATGCTTTGTAATTTTCTTAGAGTTCCATTTCTTTCATTCTCCATTAAAAGGAAGTTTCATTAAAATAAACATTTAATCACTAGTTTTGCAATAAATTAAGAAATAGAACCGAAAAAGCTTAAATGAAAGCAAACAAGTAAGCCTAAATAGAATTTTTTTGACATTTATTATTAGGCCTGGGGATATTATTTTCTGAAATAGTAATCATCCTTTTTTTGAGCAATTGTTGTGTGCTATATATCATGGCTTAAATAATTTATTAACTTTTAGCTGTTTTAATTAATAAATTTATTTTCAATATAATAATTATGGTAGATATTTTCTATGTGCCTGCTCCGTTGTAGCACTTAGGACTGAATGTTGAGGAAAACCATACACCCTCACTAAAGTTATTTCTGTGCTTGGGGTTAAAATATGGTCTAGAAATAACCAAGACTGTGGGACCATGGAACATGGTTGAAGAAAGACAAGCTGAACGAATATGAAAGGAGGTGTGTGCCTGGACCTCATAATGAAGGAAGAGCAGTCATGAAGAAGAAACTGAAGGTAGAGGCAGATAAGTACCAAGTGTCCTGTGAAGGCCTTACTTACTGTGAAATAATGGAAAACAGCAGAACGTTTTGAGTAGGACAGGATCATGAACAAATTTGAAAGCTGAAAACACCATTGCTGCTCTGTGGAGAACTGACTGGGAAAAAATGGATTAAGTATGGAACAGGGAGAAAATTGTGACTCAGGGAGTTTATGTAATTTGTCCTGCAAATGGGGAATTAAGGGTTCAAACCAGGCTTATTTGAAGATAAAGTTGAAGTCCTTTCTGCTATTCAAGTTAACTTTGAGTGCCTTCTGCAATCATAAGTGCTGTTTTCTTCTACATAGATGAAATGAGAATACCATGTATTTCACATCTTCTGGGTTCAACATGCGCAGATCAATTTAAAAGTAGGTTCTGGAACTGAAGGACTAAAAGACCCCAACCAGAAAAATTCCTTTATCAGTTTCCCTTCCCTAAAGAAATTTCTTCCCACATACCTGAACCCACTCTAACCACCAAATTGGCGCCAGTAACCGTTAGAACCCTCCCTAACTGCCAAATTTCTGACGCTAGCAACCTTCCCCAGATAAGAGCCAATCATGCTATCATGAGGATCTTCCCCTGACTCTCTATAAAAAGGCCTGCATGCCTGCTTTCGGGGTCTCCATCAATTCAGATGGTAGACCCACCACGTGCTGTGTTGAGATCAATAAATGCTTCTGCTGATTGCATACATGAGGAGAGTCTTTCGTGGGGGACATGAAATCGGGCACAACAACACAATAAGCTTTAGAGAAAGAGTTCTGCCTTAATCCTATTACATCATCTGGATTTCTTGTGAAAGATTAGTAGACATATGTCCACTTAATGTTTCCTCTCTCTGGTCCCTTTGTCATTCATTGCAGACTGATCTGTACATTTTTCCTTTTGATTCTGTTGTTTCTCCTAAGTGTGACACTGAAGCTTAAGAGCAACCTTCCAACATCAGGAAGAATGTTTCTTAAGAGAGACATACCAGAAGTCCTGGGGATAAAGCAAAAGCTTGTGATTTGTGGGGAAATTAAAATGTATACCTTTATTTTTGTTCTTAATGTTTGCATGTCTTTATTTTAAAATAATATGTGCTTGATTTTAATATCAAATCAATCATAAAAACATGGAAATAAAGGAAGTCTTACAAAATCATACACATTGATTTTGACATACATCCTTGATTCATACACTTAAAATCTAAACACAAATGCATGTTAGAATTTTGTAAATGATCTTGAATGGCTGACCATTCCATGGTGAGCATATCTTTCTAGTTTTGTTGTCTACCTCCACTCACAGCCCCCATATACCTATATTCTGTATGGGTGAAAATTGGACCATGAGGATGAGTTCTATTGCATGGTGGCTGAGGGCCATAGTCTTGGGTTCCTTCAATCTCGTTCTAACTAGTATGCCTGGTCTTTTTATAATTTTCAATTTTGTTCCACATTTTCCCTACACTATCTGTGACCATCTGATGTGATTCCTTTCAGAACAGTGGGTTGTGTTAGCCAGATAACATCCAGTTCTTCTGGTCTCAGGGTCATGGATGCTGATGTTCATGTATACCATTGGATTAATTGATTCCAAGCATCTTCAATTTTCATCACTTGTCTTTCCTCTGTACATGGAGGGTTTAATACTTGTACCTTAGATGACTTCTCATGAGTTTTTTTTTTTTTAATTAAATGTTTTTATTTTGGATTGAGTGAAAGTTTACAGGGCACATCATCAGCTTCACATACAACCGTTCATAAAGCTTGTTTCATTACATTGATTATTATCTCCTCCATGTATCATCAGTTAACAGTGTTTCTCTCCTCTTTAGCTTTTTTTTTTTTTGGATGAGGGGCAGGGGACTTGCCTTTTTGGAATTTACAGTCTCGGCTTTTAGGGAAGGTTTTTACATTTGTCTGTGGATATCCAGGGCTCATGTATGAGATTACTAACAAGCATTAC